ATAGGTTTCCTTCCTCCAGGCAAAGTTATCCCTTATCATTCACTATTATAAGTGTCAGCTTTTTTTTTTCTTTTTCACTAGACTAAAAACTTCTCAAGGGCAGAGAATGTGTCTTTGTATTACAAAGCCCACTGTTACTATTAAATGAAGGAAAGAGCACTGGCTTGAGCAACTCCTACCAGCACCTCAGGTAAACATCCCACCCTCCCAAGGTGAGGCCACCAAAGCCACAAACTATTCAGTGCCTTCAAATCCATGCAACACAGACACACACACAGGCAGGCAGGCAGATTACTTCCGGAGTTTAAAAGGAGCTAGAAGTAAAAAAGTAAATCTGTACCTTCTTTGCCCACTGGTATACTTTACATTTGCCAACTCAAAATTCAACAGCAGAGATTAGACTAGCATCAAGCTGCTGAAAGTTTCTATGAACATACTGCTAATTTTTTTAATGGCACAAAAATATTTATTTGCCCCATGAAGGTAATTACAATCTACTTGTACTTAAATACTCACTGGTACTATTAGTATATACTGAGTCAAGAACTCAATCACACTGAAAAAATTCACATTGAGAAATATTAAAAATCTATAGAGGAAAATATTACCTAAAGGTCATGCACTAGGCACCATTCTAAAGGCTTTATGTGCAATTCCTCACTTAATCATCACAGCAACCCTATGAAGAAACTGAAAGTGAGATTGAGTAATTTGTCCAAATCACATAAGAAGGATCCAAAGCCAGTGTGACTCCAGAGCCCAAGCTTTTAACCAACACAATGTTGTTAAATGGAAAGTCCTAAGATTATGTTTATGTTGTATGCACACACAATTGAGAGAGAGACAGACAGAACAACAAAATGTTAAGAATGATGATCTCTTGAGTGGGATAAGTAGGTCTAAATGGGATGAACATGAACATGTATTACTTTTAGTCAGAAAAAAAAAAAGTAAACAAGAGAAATAGTACCTAGGTGGTGCTAACAGAAAGGTAAGGTGGACTGGGGGAATTAACATCTAAGCAAAATCCTACTAAGAGCCAGGCACATAGGCTATCTCATCTAATCCTTACATCAAAAAAATGTTATTTCCATTTTACATATAAAGAAACCAAGGATGAAGTAACCTATCCAGTGGAAGAGCTGGGATGAGAACTAAAGCCCAGTCCAAATGTGTTGAGGATATCATGCTACAAATAAAATTTAACTGAAAAGCTATCTCAAAAAACAAATCATATTGTGGAAAAGAATCAGAACCAAATAGCCAACAATCTTAAGTGGAAGGAGGCAAAAGAGAGAGAGGCCTAAGGTTTCAACTTTAAACTTTGGTTCAGAGTATCTTTGCAAGTGTCTCAAAATAGCCAAAAGCATTGTCTAAAATCAGCATTACAAGTTGGGACTGTGGGACAGAGTTACATTAGCATAAAGTAAATGGACTTGGATGTGACTCCATTGTATATGCAGTGGAGTATCTGCTTTGGGGATAATTTGCTGCCTCCAACTCAGTCTCACCTATCCACCTACTGCTTACAACTTACCAAGTGTGTATGGAGAGACAGGGTGTTACATGTATGAGAACACTGCCAACTGTATTAAGACTTAAGTGGTCTCTCAAGATCCATAACTATTGTTCCAAACCTGGATGGTGAGAGCTGCTAACCCTGGGGGGAACATCTCAGATAAAAATGAATGGATCCAGCATTTATTTTTTTTTTAAGACTTGTTTAATTTTGGGTGCTCTGACTTAGAAATTTAAAAATCCATCTAAACTAAAATTCATTCTTCTAAAAATAGCAGTGACATGTTGTTTTGCTAAGAAAAACAGTTGGGGTGGGGTATACAAATTTCCTTACACAATCTTTTAGAGGAAAGAAAACTTGATTATTTCACTTATCAATGAAAATAAACACCTATTTTTGAAACTAAATAATTAAGAGTGAAAAAGTATTACTATAGCCAATTTAAAATTAATTCAATATTTGCCCTTAATATTTGCCTTTTATAGATTCAAATAAAATGTAAGTTAAAAATATCAAACCCGCCATTCCTTAGAAATAAAGTAGCCCTTGTGGAGACTAGATTAGGAAATTAAATATATGTTTGGGACAAAGCAGAAAAAGTACAAAACTTTTGGGATTTATACATCCACAGTTTTTGAAAGCTTAGGAACATGAAGTTGACACTATACCTTAAAAATATCAAATTACTGGGCAAACAGATTTAAACCTTAAAATGTTCCATGAAGAGACTTATAGAATAATTTCTTCCAACCAATATGCTGAGCAAATAAGAACAAGATATAATAAAAGTAACAACCTGGAGTATACAAGTATATGAAAATGTCCACATCAATAAGCAATTTCGATTAATCAATAAAATTAAACAACCATTAAATGTAATTTGCATTTTTGTATGAAATCCATACAATCTCAAATATTAGGCTTTTCTTAAGCACAGTACTAAACCATTTATGGCTGGCTATCTATCACTATGGAGAAACAGAAGGGGTTTTATTTTAGGCAGACAATAGGAAAAGACAGTAAGAATCACAGGAGTCTCACTTCCATGCCTGACAGAAGTAAGCACCCACCAAGTCATAGGTTATCCATTACTCTGCAAAGTGCCAGCTTTTCACTGGGTAATAGTGTTCTGGGGGTTAAGTGGTCAGAATGTGAAACACCTCTGCCAGTGAAAGCCAGCCTGCCATCAGGCAGGACATACATACACACAACATACTGCCCTAGGTATACTAAAAAGAAAGGAAAACGACAAATGAATGAAGAAAAATAACCTCTCCAAACATGCCCACACCGGAGGTTGGTAGTGGGGCGCAGGGTACATTAGCATTCCAACTTCCACACTAAAGAACAACCAGAAGAAGGTTAAGTGTAGCCACAGGAAACATCCCATCCCTGAAAACCGGGATATCAGGATTTGGAAATTTAACTTAAAAAAAGAAAAGAAAAAAAAAAACAGCTTTCAAAGCTCATGGCACCAAAATATAGCTAAAATTGAATCCATTTAAACATAGAAGAAGAAAAAAATACCAAAACCACAGTGTCAGCTATGTTCAGTTCCCTGAGGGCTCTTCCACAGACCCTTCGGAGTTGCAGCAATAACCACCTTCCTTAAAATCCCCATTTTCTTTTTTTATTTCTAGGGTCGAATATAAGACATCACATCAATCCAAATAGTTATTATCAGAATAAATCAACTACTGATTTTCAAACCGTGCACCTTGTTCAGGAGCTGCCTTGCCCACCTTCTCTCCCTCCTAATTTTTAATGCTTCCAAGCGTTGTGACAACCAGGGTCTCCCCCTTGGGTTCATTCATGTGTTTGTTTCACCGGACAGTGACCAAACAGGACAGGAAACTCCTACACTGGGGGCTGCTCCAAAAACCCAGCCCCGCTCACTGACAGTATCCTCACCGTTCCCTACAGTTTTTCCCTTACAGGGGCTGTGCAGAAAAGGGAGCTGGAGACCCACAGGAGTCCGAGGTGCAAGGGGGAGGAGGCGCTGTATTTGAAAAAAATACCCCCGGTTTCTGGGGTGAGGGCTAAAAAGGCTATTAGGAAAGCCTGCCCTGTAGAAATACAACCTGAATTTACCTCCTCCCTTCCCACCGCAAAACAGCCCAGTCACTAACTAATAAGCTAAGAAAAATCCCTGGAAAACTTTTCCAATCGGGAAGAGAAGGCCCTCTCCCCAGCCTGGGGGCTCCTGGGGAATGGGCTGGAGTTTGCAGCCCTGGAAGGGCTCGCCGGGGAGTGGGGTGGGGCGCGGGCGAGGGGTGCAGGGGCGGAGTACCTTCAATGGACAGGAACTGGCAAAGAGTTTCAAAATAGCCGAGTGCTCTCCCCCACGCCCTCGGGGGTCGCGAGCGCTAGCACCAGGGCTCCTCCAAAGGAGGGCAACCCCCCATTCGGGCCTAAAAGGAAACTTTCCGGGCCGCGGCTGCACCTGACTCCTCACCGCCTCACCGCCCCACCACCCCACCCCACGCCCGCCAGG